TTGGCTTTAAAAATCCGATAGCTTCTGAATCTCTGGTCTTGATGGTAAAATGCTGAGTGATATTCGATGGGTGGTGTAAACAGGAGGCACCTAGGATTATTCGGGGTTGAGAAGAAGAACTAGACAGATGTTAAGGATGGTTTTCCAAATAGATGCCTAAGAATTTAGGGCGCGAAATACTTCGCGGTAGCCCACACTGACGAAGGGTTTTTTTCTTTGGGAACCCTAACCGGAGCCTTTGACTTAGGAGTCTGACCCACAAGGTAGTGGGGCGTTTTTCAAGCAATTCAAAGGCTGCACCTTTTGTTAACCCAATCAAAGAGACTCAGTGGGACTGAAATATAGGGATTATGGATGCCAGTGTTATTAAATATTTGTATTGAAGATTAAAGTTTTCATTGCGATATTTCCCATAAGAAATTAATCACCTGGCGAGTCAAAACTGCATGCCCAAAGTTATACAGCTGTTCTCAATGATTCGCTAGACCATCCTGGTTTATTTAATATTTGAGTGTCCTACCGGCGTTCGTAGTGTCAATGGGTAACCGGTAGATTTTTATTCTAATCAACTCGTTTTACCTCTACAAACAACATAAAATGCATACATGTTCATTCAAAAATGTGTGAAGAACACTCAAGCTAGAAACAGTCTGTCGTACATTTAAATAGGGTAGTAGTACTATTAGTTGGGAATAAAATAGAGATATGCTATGACAGCCTCAATATGGCCGGGAATGCGTGTCTTGGGTTGTGGCTGGTCACCCTTCCCATGTATTTCTCGAAATGCCCTTACACGACTGAGCTTCTCACATAGCCTCTACCGAGGAAGTTGCACTCACTGCCTTCCCGTGGCGGGGGCATTTAGCTACCAAAGTAAGAGAATGAAGAGCCAATATCCGGGGTTACAATCGGGTTAGTAAACCACTGGCAGTTTACCTTGGGGAGTTGGCTAAAAACCCTGATTCCAAACCTATCAGGAAGAGACTTACGAACTACCCACCTACATCTTCCTAGTTATGACAGTGGTCACTGACTCGTTCGGGGCATCAAGGTGTATTGGACAGCTTTGACCCCATTAACAAAGCGTATGATCCGACGAACTGGACACTGAACCCCCATGGGCTGAGGTTTTCACTTCCCTGCCGGCTGCCTTGTGCTTCAGGCTTTGGCTAGCCAAAGGTTCTGGTTGTGAATTCCCAAGAAAGTCCACCTGCCTCGGCCAGGTCAACCTAATGGCATCGTGTTCTGGAGCAAATCATGAATTTTCTCTTTGTAAAAAGAATATTGTACCGTTATTTGTTTGGCACACAGTCTGAACTCAGGTGTGTGAAAATAAATAAATAAATAAATGTGATATGCAGCCCTTGGGACACTTGTTTATTAATAGAAGTATGGCACCTAGATATAACACATTGGTAAGAATGTTAACTGAGACCTACTAGGAGGAACAATTTGGATGGAGAAAGGAGAAGTTAGGTTCAGCTGCACAAAGAAGAAAACAGTATTTGTCACAAGAGGAATCGAGATGCAATAGCGACTAAAAGTTGCCTGGTAAGGTTAGGTCATTGTCAAGTTATAAGGCTAAAGCCTTCATGATCGATTCGCGACCACGGTCCTCATGGTAAATATACTGTATGCTTGTGTGAGCCGACTGATAGGTTTTGTGGTTCTTTTACCTACTTTCGTCACTCGTCCACCTCTTATGTTGTCTGCTTGTGTTTCGATAGCAGTTACAGCCTTTCATTCTTTGGTCAATCATATGGTGTTTTTCAAAGGACAGCTGCTACTGCTGCAGGGAAGCACAGGATTATGGTGGGCGCTGAAACTGAAAGTAAATGGATCAGTTTCAGTTCCATGTTTAACAACTATTAATCATGCACTTTCGTGCGCTGGTCTTGGTTGCTGTCTTTTGTCTGCTCACTTAAATAAAAGAGCAGGAGGAAGATTGGAATGCTGATAGCAGAGTCAAACAAAATAGAATTCATATAGACTTGGGTTGCAAGCACAATGAGCACCACTATTTGCGACACTCAACCAAACATTGGCGTTTATGCATCTACTCATTATCCTTGGAACTCCACTCTGTATGATTTCTTTATGTTCTTTGACTCTGCTTTCAGCATTCCCATTTTTCTTCCTCTATTTTATCCAGGGGGATTGGATTTTGTATTTGCATCACGTTTAATTTGGGATCGTGGGCTTGATCCCTGTTGGGGTTGATCAGTGCATACTGTTTATTATATCAACAAGATTTAAGCATCACTACTGCTACTCACCGTTTTAAGTTCTAATTACTTTTGAGCACATTGTGTATTTGCCGAATATTTCACTACTCAATTCTTCAGATGAGTTAATATTGAGTTATGTCCCGTGGACTCGTAACTTTGGTGTTATAATACCAAGGTGGATCATTATGATAGTCTGCTGTATTTAGACAGTTTAGTCAGTTGATGTAGCACTAAAAACGAACTTGTTTGCTAGCCTGTGTTCGCAGTCTGCTGACAAAGTTTTGCGTGTTGCACGTTACATGGCAATAGAGATGGGGTAACATTAAGCTAAAATACAACTTACTGGTTGTGCACCCGTATATGAAAATATTTTAGGATAGAAAAAATGATGAAGGTTGTTCCACAACCCTGCGGTTCTTGAAGAATACGATTTAGAAGCTGTTGTTCGGCAGGCTTTTTAAAGCATTTGATAAGGATGACTTTGGGCCCGTGAGAATGTCTCCCAACCAAAGGAAGATGGAATAGGGACCAGATGTGAGGAGATTATCGCACGGCACTGGCAAGTGTTTGAAGAGTACATGCTAGGGACAGATCAACAACAAAAGGTAAATGGGCGGCCCACATGAATAATGCTTTTTAATCTTGAGAGGTGCTTATCGTTTTCCCACGAGGTTCTTGGTTTCATCGTCGAAAGATGCCAACAAATGCACGTAAACCGAGGTTACCTTTATGGTTTAAGGGAATGAAATGAATGAAATCCTTGGCCAGATTCCGGTTGGGGACCTCGTGACTAGTCTACTCAGGGGTTGGAGAAACAGTGAAATGGTTAAATGTTGTCAACTTTGATGAACATGTTTCTGTTGATTTTCTGTACAAATTTAGTTTATTGGCATTCCGTACGTTCTACTTCGTGTTGATCTCAGCTTTTTACTTCTCCCAATTACACTTTCATTACTGATGACTAA